GTTCAGGAGCCCATGACCCGGAGTAATCAACTTCCATGAGTTCGTGTCACGGCGTTTTCACGGACCAGTTTTTTTTAGAACGGTCTTGGTGCCAATTTTGAATATCTTTTAAATTCCACAAACCAGTTAGCAAAACCTACAGACCTAAAAATGATATTTTTTACTTTTTAATAACGTTTAGATTTCCTTTTTCGTATCTTATACTTTGAGTGCGTTCATAGACATGGTGGAAATTCTATTTTCGAGGGAACAAGTGCCCTAAAATGTGTCTAAAAATAAACTGGTCCGTAAAACTGCCAGGTTATCGGCTCCTACTTTGTTACATTTATGACCAGTTATTAGTGCCTTGGAAAAGAGACTTGTTGATATTTAAATTGTCTGTCGATCATATGCTTCGTTCGTTGTGAACTTGCTGTTCTTGACATTTTGCCCTTTGTTTGAAGGTAATTACTATATGGAAACCGTTTCCAGTGGAGACGTCAGACAGTGTTCAAACAGATGAAATATTATCCCGTCTTGTTAGCAAGATGTACCGCACTTCATACCAGTTGGATTATACAAAGTCAGGAACTCCTGTCATTCCAGACTAACAACCCACTCTCCCGTGAAGTAAATAATTACCCTGTATACACCAATACAAAGGATAATAATTGACAAGCTAGATCCTCGCATTGCTCCCCTATCCACTTCTTTCGCATTACCAATGACCCCCAGCCCCCCCCCCAAAAAAAAGTAAATAAAATTGGAAAACCACTGTTTCCAACTTTCCCCTAAGTATTACAATTGTCGGTAGAAAAGGAAAACAACGCTTATGCAAAATTGTTAGGGAGTAGTGAGAGAGGGGGGATGAACAAGTGGGTTATGGGCAATGCGAGAGTGGCGATTCCCTTTCCCTATTAACCGGCATTGGTGACCGCGTACGTTTCCGAGACGAAACTCTCCGCCCACTTGATTCCAAACATTTTTGCCGCCGAGGACCGAGTTAACGTCGAAACTAATCGGAATAGGAAGTCGAGTGCCAAACCAATAGACAGAGTTTTGGAAAGTAACTTTTCTTAGCTAGAGTTTACTGAGTTAGCTACGTTGGTGTGACTGTGTTGTAAGAAGTTATTGGAGAGCTATACTTCAAGGACTATGACAACTACGAGGATAAAATTTAACTAAAAGCGACCTTGTTTGGTTATGTTTATATTTTTGTCTTTAATTTAACCCTGTGGAACAATGCATATCTTCCTTCCTGGACCAATAAAGCTTTCCGTTTAAGTTAATAAATTGGTAAGCAACAACGTCAGAAAAGATAGATCTTTCCGGCGATACCTAGTTTTGGATACTCTGCCCAATCCTGACAGAGTTACACTCCCAAAAAAGGTAACACTTTGGGGAAAAAATCCACTGCCAATTTCGCTGTTTACGTACTACTCTTGAAACTTAAAATTGTCCCTTTCCTAAAAAGTTAGCCAGCCGCAATTCCATGCAAAAGAAAGACGATAAAGTGGGCAACAAAACCGCCAATAAAGAAGAATATAAGAAAGGAAAAAAAAAGAGCGAGAGAGAAAGATCAAAATAGATTCGCAATTCTAAATTTTGGCTTTTGCGAATGCGTGAAAACAAAAAAGCTGTTTAATTACGTCAGATTTAGTCGGAAGACATGCCTTTTTTCTTGCAAAACTCGTTTTTAGCCATTCTTATGCTAATTAGCCGAACACCAGTCCAAAGAAGGGGAATTGGTGAAAAATGCGGTTTTTTCGCTACGCGCCGGCCGTTATAGAAGGGTTAATAGGGAGCTTAAACAACAACGATGGCGACGGCAACGAAAACGTCACTTAAAAAGTGGATTCCTGCTGCTTCAAACTTTATCGCGCTTATTTCATCTCGTTTACTTCGTCAAATTTTGGCAAACCCTTTTTTGAGTTGAATTCTAGAGGACTGTATGTATCAAAGTTCCGGAAACGAAAAAGAAAGTTGTACATTTCTCTACCGTCGTTGCACGACTACAACGTGAAACTACCAAATTTCACGTTTTGTCGAGGACGGGAAAAAAAGACAACAACTTTCTTTTTCATTTCCTGAACTTTGATGCAGTTCTTTAATATTCAACTTCAAAAAACTTGCCAACATTTGACGAATTAAACGAGGTGGAATAAGCGCGATAAAGTTTGAGGCAACGCAAATTCACTTTTTAAGTGACGTTTTCGTAGCCGTCGCCGTCGTCGTTGCGTAAACTCCCTGATAAAACAGGAGAATTTGGATCTCGTCATTTTATATAAAAAGTTCATTTTGTGATCAGACCTTTCTTTCGGGACAAGGCTAAAAGAAAAAGCTTGAGCAACCCGTTTCCGTTTCTCCTCTCCTCCTCTTACGCTTTTTCGCCTCCACACCCCCATTTGTCCACATAAGAAAGCCTGTATTGTAGAGGCTTGTTAAGGCATGATCTCGATTTTATGCATGCAAGTCTTCATTGCTTATCAAGCCAGAATAACATGGCAAAATCGTTTTTTGGTTATTGAATCAATTTTCTGTTGATAGTGTTTGAAGAACATCATTATTTTCATATTTATAAAACTATTCAGAACAGATAACTTTATAGCACACTATCAATTTTATCATTAGTAATTTTATAACAATACTTGAAAACCATAAACTGGTGTCGTCGAGGCGTGAAGTCTTAATTAGTATAGCGCTATTACAAAGACAGACGTTAAGAGAACAAAATCAGCCTGAAGCCCCCAAAAGATGTGTTCTTTTAGGCGGGTTTTTACTGTATCCCTACCGTCTCGTATACTCCAACGAGTAAAATGCCTACCCTTTCATATACCTGAAGCTTGAAAAAGGTACCCCTTTCGGGCGGAACCTTCCCGTACAGGCCATTATAGGGAATACTCCCCCCACCCCGCTTGGGATTGATTGCTCTCAGTTTAAGTACTGATTAATTGGTAATAAATTTGGAATAAGCTTAACAGTCTGGGACTGTTCTGTTATTGCCACTTATGCTCAGGGCAAGACCATGGTTTCTGTTCTCCATGCGAACGGCGAACCTCATCAGCTGCCACACTGGATCTGTTCTGAGTTGCTTTTACAAGGGCAATTCTAGTTGTTCTGTGCCGTGTGAGAACGGTAAATCCCCGTTCTGTCTAGGTGAGCTTTGACCTTACACAAATAGTGAAATCAGACCCGCGTCGCGGATAGAAAATTCTAGTACTTGTCACAAATCACCACCTCAAATCCAACTTTCTGGAGGTTCTGAGCTAAAACTTCGAAACTTCACTCTTGCAGTCCTTCCTTTTAGACGTATTAACAATTTCAGCTGGGGTTACTAATTCACTAGGATGAAAGAAAATTAGAGGAACCAAGAACAAAAGAACAGATCGTATAAACCATACAAGAAAACACACTGCAATTTATTACAATACAAAGTTTCAAAGCTTCCTTAATATTGGAACAGCAAATGAAAACACTACAAAAACAACTGTTTTTACTATGTAACTCAGCTCGTCTTATGTTGGATAGTGCGGTCAAACACATCCACGAAAAGTAGAGAGTTTTTTGCTTGCTGGAATGGATAATAGCGACCACAATGTTATTATGTCCATCAGCCTTACGCCCACAAATCAATTAACGACTAGAGAAAGATTTGGCAGTTGAGAGGGCAATCCTATGTTTTCCAGAAAAAAATGGTGTACAGCCACTGGATATTGATTAATCCAGTGAATAACGCTGTACACCATTAACCAGGGCCTGGATTTATGTTTGTCAGGATGATTTTAGGTAATTATATACAGCGGTGTCATGAAATCATAGCTCTCTATTACACCACTCTAATTGCGCTAAGTTCCACAAAATATGACGTGCGCAAACAATTTGTATTTTGTAATTCGGTTTAAGCTAAATAAACCATATTTACTTCCTATTTTAGTATGACTGTAAACTGGCCAATGACGACCCAGGTCACGAGAAACTTGTGACTGTAGGGCTTCCTTGTAGTCCTTTATCCCATAACTATTAATTAACGCATTAAAAGGATCTCTGATGGGCCAAATCTGTATGTCAGTTCATTGTTTTAATGTTTTGCTCCCAGGATCTGCTTGCAGCATAACACAGTCAACCCTCTCTAAGACAGACACCTTTAGGACTGACACAACGTGTCCGTCTTAGAGAAATGGTTGTCTTATAGAGAGTCAACTAAAAGGAGTAAAGAAAGGCAGCGACCAACTCTAGGTGTCCATTTTACAAAAGTGTTTGTCATATAAGAGGTGTCCGTTAAGAGAGAGTCGACTGTGCTTGCAGTTAGTATTTTCTAGTAAATAATATAACAAGACTACCAAAGAATTGTGCTCTCCATGCAAAGAAACTCAATGTTTACTAATTTTAACCTGGGTTTCTCTCTCTTACGTTAAAAAGTATTTCCTTGGATAATTTCCTCTTTACTTTTTAAAGCATCCGATCATCAAATTGTTGACAAAACGAATTTGACGGAACTTGCTTTTCAAGTTTCATATCTGAATACATATTTGGCAGTAACCCTGGGTTATGTTAACCCTGATTTGAACAACCAGGTCCTGGGCAAAAATATTCCTTTACTTTGGTTTGTAGAATGTATAAGGAAAATTTGTTAAAATAATTAAAACTTTCCGGAAACATCCAGGAAGTAGCAAATATATTTTTAAAGCATAAAAATAGTCTTAACGTAGAAATTCAACAATATCTCGAAACAGATTTTTTACAACCTTCGCACAGCAGGGAAAGGCACCCAAACTTCAAGTCACGCAGAGCATTTCCAAAGAAAACTTGAATAAGGGCTGAAATTAGATTAAGAGCTGTCGCCATTGTGACGTCACTGTCAAAATTTGGTTTATGTGTAATCCATGTGTTAGTACCTGGTAAGGTATAAGATGTCCAAAGATGTAAGATATGTCTACCAAAACACTGGGTTAAACCATGTTAAGAACTGAAAAATTACTTACAAGAAAGAAGGCGTGAAAAAACCGAAAGGTTTCTTGACATTACAAGCCATCTTCATGTACACGTCTCATATGATTTTCATAGTGCCGATGAAGAAGATCCTCACTTCCCATCTCCTCTAGACAAATCCAACAGCTGTGTTTCCCAGTGATGGCTAATTGAGGGACTACCATACCACTGCATCCAGTCTCGCTCTGGGTCAGTGAGTTGTTTGTCCTAATATCCAGTCTTTCAGTTCCTGCTTGCTTACGCTTACAACGAAAACTTTTAGAAGGACACTCCTTTCTGTGCCGATTACGAGACTTTGCTTTCGTGTGGAGTTCTTCATGTTTCCTAAGATTTCCTTTTTGATTAAAACACTTGCCACACTGTTTACATTCATATGGGTTTTCTCCAGTGTGAATTCTTTCATGAATCCTTAGGTGTCCTGTTCGCCTATAACACTTGCCACAGTGTTTACACTCATATGGCTTCTCTCCCGTGTGCACTCTTTCATGAACCCTTAGGGAACTTGACTGACTGAAACACTTGCCACAATGTTTACATTCATAAGGTCTCTCCCCAGTGTGTAATTTTTCATGACTCCTAAGACCTACTGAGGTGCTAAAACACTTAGCACACTCTTGACATTCATAAGGCTTCTCTCCAGTGTGAACTCTTGCATGAATTTTTAGGTATCCTGCTTGGCCAAAACACTTGCCACACCGTTTGCATTCATAAGGCTTCTCTCTGGTGTGAACTCTTTCATGCCTCCTTAGGGTTACCGCTTGGCCAAAACTTTTCCCACACCGTTTGCATTCATAAGGCTTCTCTCTGGTGTGAACTCTTTCATGCCTCCTTAGGGTTACCGCTTGGCCAAAACTTTTCCCACACTGTTTACATTCATAAGGCTTCACCCCAGTGTGAACTCTTTCATGATTCCTTAGGTGTCCTATTTGGCCAAAACACATACCACACTGTTTACATTCATATGGCCTCTCCCCAGTGTGAACTCTTGCATGACTCCTTAAGGCTCCTGAATGGCTAAAATACTTGCCACACCGTTTACATTCATAAGGCTTCTCTCCAGTGTGAATCCTTTCATGAGACTTTAGGTCTCCCGATGTGCGACAACACATACCACACTGTTTACATTCATATGGTTTTTCCCCACTGTGAACTCTTTCATGAATTTTTAGGTTTCCTGCTTGGCCAAAACACTTGCCACACTGTTTGCATTCATAAGGCTTCTCTCCAGTGTGAATCCTTTCATGACTCCTTAAGTGTTGTGCTAAGCTAAAACACTTGCCACATTGTTTACATTCATAAGGCTTCTCTCCGGTGTGTACTCTTCCATGTTTCCTTAGGTCTCCTGCACCACGAAAACATTTCCCACACTGTTTACATTCATAAGGCTTCTCCCCACTGTGAACTCTTTTGTGTTTCCTAAGGTATCCTGCTTGGCTAAACCACTTAATGCCACACTGCTTGCACGTTGAGGACATGGAGTGCAACTTCCTTTATTCAATCAATCCTATTGTCATAAAAAATAGCTGTCAAGGCTTATGTTTCTCAAACTCATTAGTAAATGCTTGTTTTTCTAAAGTACAAACATTAACCACAAAGGACTGCAAAGGACTGCAAACAAAAATCCCGAAGAACGTAGGATCTATAAAGACCTGATCAGCAAAAATAATAATGTAGACATATTAAATTCTGCAAGCAGAATACTGCAATGCTGATGGTACTACGTGAAAACTAACTCTGCAAGACATCAACACGACACCGAAAGAACTCAAAACAGAGCAGGATTGTAGCCATAGATGTCTTGCAGAGTTAACGTGAAAGGCACACCAACATTACCACAAACAGGAAATTGTACAAGTTTGTTCAGTTGTTGTGCGGCCAGGTAGACCATATGAATCTGGGAGGAATACTTTAGTACTTTATATCCTGTAGTACTAAGTAGCGTAACATAAGCACTCGAAAAAAAATTGAGCAACCTTTTCCTGTAAATTTAACCAAATGCATCTTTTCATGCACAGCTATGAAGCCCTGCTCTCCACACATTTTAACATACGTTTATCCAAAGTATTATGACGCCGCATAAGAAATGAAACCAATCATCTGTACAGTTTTTTCCATGTTTAATGCTGTCTTGGCCAAGTTGATTATTTTCAGGATATTTATTCTTGAAACCAAGCTGCATTATGTTTCCTTTAACGATTAAAATCTTCAAAGACTGCCGAAATATATTTGACTCATATTATATTATTCTACTCAATAAAACAATACATGTATATATCTAATTATTTTGTCAACTAGCTTCCGCCAATTTTATTCCCTAACACTATTGTTTGTACTTAAGTTACATATCTTTACTACATAAAATATGCTTCAACAACTATGACTCATAAGCAGCAAGTATGTACATCACGTTGTTCACTTAATTCATGATAAAGATAAAGATCTGTTGAACTTTGTAACCAAGAGAATAAAGGTGGGTTACAGGATTAACTTACCTGGTACAGCTTTCAAAAAAAATAAGCTGCCTTTTAAACTTCTAAAACCACTATTCATTTATAGGCCGCATACTCCAGAATTAAAGTCCATATCTAAATTTCAATTACTGTTTCATTGGATGCAACTCATAAATTAAGAAACATGTGCATTGTACCATTTACAATCACCAAATTGGGTCAGAAAGGTCTTGAAGCAGTACCCACTCTAACCTATGCACCCTTAAACAGTTGCATCACTGTTCTCAGTGTTTGAATCATGGAGATATTTCAATGTTATGCTTCTAAACACCTTTTGTATTTACAGATGAAAAAATTGTGAAGAATCAAGATGGCGATCTCAAAGTACCCTTGTTTAACCTTAAGCAAATAGGTCATATTTAGATGCCAAAATCTCGTTGGTTCCTGAGCATCAACTCATAGTACAACCTCATCATCAACCATAGTACAACCTCATTGGCCCCTGCGACAGACATCCGAATGCACAAGCCACGAGGCCACAAAGCTACATATGCTCAAACCACTGACATACAGTGTATGAGCTATTTTGAATAAATGGTAGTTAGCACAAGTTTAGGCTATTTAGGTTCTTAAATAGGTTATTATTTTCTGAAGAAAAAAAATACAGTATAGCAAAGAGTATTTAGTTGTTCAGCTTACTCCTCATAAAAAATCTGCATACTAAATTAGAAGTTTTGTAAAAATGAATAAATTAAGAAGAACTAAAGCATTGATGTCAAGAAGTTTGAGATCCTTCCTCCAAAGAGGACTCTGGCTTAATGTATCTTATTTGCCCAGGGGGACAGATTTTTTCATACATTATTTTTAGAAAATAAGAACATGCTTCAAATTTTAGGCTAACAGGTTCTTATATAGAGGGGGTGATACTGGCAAATTTTACGTGTAGCCTAGGTAGCAGGTTCTTAAAATCCAGGGCCCAGTTGTTCAAAGGCCGATTAGGGCTTAACCCGGGATTAAATTTAACCCAGGTTTCTTTTCCTTGTGTTCAAAAGCATTTTCTCGAGTAATTTTCTGTGCTATTTTTAGAGCTTCCAATCATCAACTTGTAGACAAAAAGAATTAAAACTGAAAGGCTTTCTAAGCTTTCATATCTGAATTCAAATATCGCACTAACCCTNTTAAATAGGTTATTATTTTCTGAAGAAAAAAAATACAGTATAGCAAAGAGTATTTAGTTGTTCAGCTTACTCCTCATAAAAAATCTGCATACTAAATTAGAAGTTTTGTAAAAATGAATAAATTAAGAAGAACTAAAGCATTGATGTCAAGAAGTTTGAGATCCTTCCTCCAAAGAGGACTCTGGCTTAATGTATCTTATTTGCCCAGGGGGACAGATTTTTTCATACATTATTTTTAGAAAATAAGAACATGCTTCAAATTTTAGGCTAACAGGTTCTTATATAGAGGGGGTGATACTGGCAAATTTTACGTGTAGCCTAGGTAGCAGGTTCTTAAAATCCAGGGCCCAGTTGTTCAAAGGCCGATTAGGGCTTAACCCGGGATTAAATTTAACCCAGGTTTCTTTTCCTTGTGTTCAAAAGCATTTTCTCGAGTAATTTTCTGTGCTATTTTTAGAGCTTCCAATCATCAACTTGTAGACAAAAAGAATTAAAACTGAAAGGCTTTCTAAGCTTTCATATCTGAATTCAAATATCGCACTAACCCTGGGTTATCTTAACCCAGCTTTGAACAACTCGGCCCAGGTTCTTAGTCACAGGGTTTCACTCTATTCTATTCATACAAATGTCATATCATAGGCAGCAAGTACATGCAGGCAAGTTTCGTATTCCTGGGTAACCTAGGATGAGTGCTTGTTCCCATGTGAAAGCAATGCTAATGCGGGGCAAATTCTGGGCGGAACACAAACAAACATGAGAAAACTCCTGCTCAGATGCTGGAAAACGAAGAAAATCTTAAACATTTTAATGTCTCAGTGGGTTTAAAACTGACTAACAGGCCTAAAAAATCATTGTTTTCATGAACAAAGGGGAGATCAGCTCATCGTCACTGAGAAAAATAACAAGCCTAACCAGAAATTAAACAAAAGAGTGGTTGGTGTGTGAGTGTGAGTTTTATTTCCAGTGATCAATAAAACTTCTTTTAAAGGATACCTTTCACTGACCTGGACATGTATGGATAGGAAGCCTGCAATTAAGTTAAAACACATTCTCAGTTGACATTTTCTAACCAAGTGGATGAAAAATCTTATGCCTTTGAAATAAACCGAACAAGTACATTCAGTGAATAAACATCAAGATGGGCTGAAGCTCTGCATACATTCCTTGTACTGCAATTAAGTTAAATAAGTCTGAAAAAAGATGGCTTAAGGTGGCTTACTACAGTTTTTTTCCCAATAACAATGTGCGTGATGCACACAATAAGCAAGCCACGCAAGATCTCTCAAGCAAACAAAACTTATGCCAGCAAGACAAGGAAAACCTGAAGATCAAAAAATATGAAAACCTTCTGTAAAAAATTCCTTGTTATGCTGGGGTTTCTAAGAAGTAATTTTGTAGCAAACTTTTTCAATATTTAGGTTCAGAAAATGTGAGTAAAACTTTTTTATTTTACTGCAGTATCTGTTCTAGTTTATGATTTTTAAAATACAACAGTCACTTTTGCAATGAAAATACTAACATGCACTTGAAACAGATGAGAAAAAAATGTACTTAAAATGATTCGACTTCCAGATGAAGAAACAAAGGAACACAACCAGACTACATGTAGATAAGGTTTGGTTTTTCAATCTGCTTTGCAAGTTATCATCAATAAATCCTAAATGTGTGAAATCTAAAAATTTTGTGTATGTGAAAATAAAGGTTTCTTTAATGCCTCGGTTCTAAGAAGAATAAAGCTAAGCCATATATCGGTCAACACTGCCTCTGACAGAGTATGTGATAAACAAAAGAATTAATTTGGCCTGTTGAAGCAGACACAAAAACAGACGTACATCAGTACCTTTATATCTCCCATGAGACTTCTGACTGGCGAGAATGAGCAATGACTTTGTTCACAAAAAATTGTCGAGAAGTCTTTCTCTGAAGGCGGTTTGCTGCGATGCAGTTTGCACACATTAATACTCAGAGAAACTCTGTAGCAATTTTGTTAACAAATAAATTATCTTTCATGTTCCAAAGCAAAAGTCCCCATGAACAAACAAGTCCTCACTGATAGAGCAAAATATTGTTAACTACCTTAATATGGAGACACAAAGCTCCAGTTGACTTTTAACGTAAGAATAATTCTTTGTTTTCACTGTCACGCAATAAACATGGCACAAAAAAATAAATTGGAAGCTGTGCAGTGGAAGAAGCCAAGAAAATGTAATGTTATAAACGACTAACATAAACAATTTGTCCAAATCTCAGGTCTTTGTGGCCCAAAGTTTCTGAGTTATTTGCCGAAACATTTCATGCACCTTTGTAGAGCCTTGTTATGGAGACACCATATTGGTGGACAGAAACTGTCCACCAATATGGCCGCCGGAAATCAACGAAAACATCTGGAGTTCACTTTTTGTATAAAAGCTCTTCCTTTTCACTCAAGAGCTAGCATACATGTGCATAAACACATCTTTTAATACTTGAAATGGGAAAACTGCTGAAAATCAAGAGAAAAGACTTTTTTCAAATTGCTGTATTTTCGAAATGAAACATGCTTCGGGGCTGGAAACTTGTATAAAGATTTATTTCTATTTATCTTCAACCTAGTGTGAATCAGAATTCGTAAAAACTCGCTTTTTTGACGTTGCAATATGATGACATCACTGTTAAAACCATCAATAGTTGTCTTTCATGCTAAAATTATCCATACCATGCGAAGAAGACAAAAATTAATGCTCTTCGGTTTCACAAGTGAAGCAGTATTATCATCCACAAATCGAGAATGAAGTGAGGTTTAAAAAATCCAATTAAATGTCACCATATTCCCTTTTCAGAACTTTTCAGTGGTGAATGTTCAGTTGT